AACTCTGTAGCTGCCTCCCAGGTGGCTTCCCTGCCCTTCCACCTCTCAAGCATCCCTCTCACTCTTTTCTGTCAAGTCCCACAAATCTGGGAATCCCTCTTGCCATAGAGTCTTCGTTCTTAATAGCTCTTTCTGCCTTGGACCACTCTCTGTGTCTCCACTGCCCTCATCATCTGCTTCTTCCCTGTTCAACCCTCAGGTCTCAGCTGCAGTGTCCCGTCCTCAGGGAGGCATTCCTTGGCCCTCCCCCCGCCCCTGACATCCTGCATCACGCGTCTCTGTCATAACCCTGCGTGGTAGCGCCTGCTTCCTCTGTATTAGTTGGTCAGATGCCTGCCTTTCTCACCTACTCTGAGTCCCGCTTAGACAGAGATCGTCTTTGTTTTGTCATAGTGCGTTCTCAGTACTTACTTCCCTGCCTGACATGTAGTGCAAACTCAATACGTAATTTTTTAATGAACAAAAGTACGTATTGGGGAATGGATGAACTTCTTTCTGTATTCACTGTTGAGACAAATGGTCATTCATTTGTCAGTTCAATAAACATGTATTGATTGCCTGATATGTGCCAGCCAGTGGGCAAACAAATATGAATGGGACTCTGTCCCTACGTCTACCAGTGGTTTCTGAGTGGGCGTAGCTACCGCCCTACCTGGGGCATCTGAAATGTGGGGAGATGCTTTTCGTTGTGGATGTCATAGTGATCGGGACACTACTGGCATGTGGTGGGCAGAGCCCAAGGTCACTAAGCATTTTCCAATGCCTGGGGTGCTCCTGCACAAGGAAGCACCATCCAGCCACCCTACCTCCACCTCCTGTACAGGAATTCCTCACAAATCTTTAGGCCAGCCGAGAAAAGTGGCAATATTCTGTTGTGTATGCCATGAAATATTTCAGTAGCAGCGCTCAGCCCAGGGGAGACATCCACATTCCACTTGGGCTCCATGTGGGGGGAGTTGCTTTTGTAATGTGCCAAAGAAAAGGCTTCACCCCTACCTAGGAGCCTCGATTTAAGTGAAGTGATAAAGCCAAAAATTAAAGTGCCAAAAGAGAAGCAGCTTATGATGAAATGACTGTTCCTCGTTTTTACGAAAAATATCCACCAAAGGTAAGTGGAGATGACAGCGAGTGGCAAGCCAGTTCTTTCTCAGTGGGCTTTGAGGACAGTTCAGCACTTAGTGAGTTGTGAAAACCATTATCGAGTGTCACGTCCCAGCCTGCCTCTGGAGGGAGAAAATGTCAAGAGGGAAGAGTGTTTCCCCATAACAAGTCCTGTGACAGGAAGAGCAGGTGTGGGGTCGAACGGGACCAGGCTTCCTTGGTCTCCGCACCACTGACATGTTGTTGTGCAAGACAGTTGTTTGCTGTGGGGCTGCCCTGGGCACTGGAGGACGTGGAGCAGCCTCCCTGGCCTCTCCTCACTAGATGCCAGGAGCGCCCCCGAGGTGTCACAACCAGAAATGCCTCCAGACCTTGTGGGCGGGGTTGCAGAATGGTCCCTGATTGGGAGCCACCGAATAAGACCTTGTTTTCACCCCCCTCAAGCCCTGTCAGACATGGTCTGTTAGAATTCAGCCACATTGGCATTTCAGCTGTGTAGAGAGTAGAGGTTAAAAATAGCCGCAGGCATTAGATGGATGCTGTCTTTTTGATGGGCAGAGGGGACTGCTGGAAACTGCTATGAGAGGACCAGCTAGCTCCTTCTAGAGACAGGGCGTGGCACTTTGTGCTGTCTCCCTGGCATTATGCTCCTCCTCCTGCTCATTGCTCAGAAGAGAGCCTACAGGAGCCTCGGGGATAATGATAATTTCTCTTTCACGTCTGCAGCAGCACTCCCAGGTGTATCAGCAATGCTGTCACCTGAAGCATCTTTTTAAGCCTCCAGAGAGAGCTGCAGGAAATTACAGTGTATTGCAGGGAACTCTGATGCTGGAGTGGGAAAAAAAAATCCTCTTCTTAAATTAAAAAGAAAGAAAAAGCAAGATAATTTTGAAGCCAGCTTGATTTAGCTCCTTTTCCACAGGAAATTTTAGACCAGCTTCAAGGGTATGTGTCTGGGGCCTGGTTTGTCCCACGTGGCTAGTTCATTTTAAGAAGGATGCCAGCTTGGGTCGCTCTTCCCCCCAGCCCTCCACACCTGGGCTCAGTTGCCACCCCCTGTCAGCCCCTGGTGTGAAGAACTCGCTCTCCCTTCCCTCTAAAATCCCTCTGCGCCCGAGAGCTCCGAACTTCTCCCTCTGCAGGAGAGGAAAGCTGTTTGGATCAGAAGGAGCGTCCTTGTCTGCATTGGTGGGAACAAGATGTCTTTTCTTGTCTTGTATCCACCTCGGAGCATCTACTGCTTCTCCGAGTCTCCAGGAGAGGTTGGCTACATGGTGGGGACAAACGAGCTGCAAAGAGCTTTTTTCAGGGACTTTGAGAAAATGAAAGGACTGCTCTCCAAAGCCAAGTCACCCCCAACTTTAACTTCGAATACACAGAAAAACACTTACTTACTTATCCTGTCTTATCTGGGTACAAAAACAAAAACAAAAAAACTTTTCTTGATTTTGGTGGTGGTGACCATTTTTTTTTTTTCCTTTGGGTGCTTATCTTTGGGCAGCCATATACTAAACACTTTATACAGAATATTTTGCTCAATCTTCCCCAAATCCTAGGCAGTAGATTCCGACCTTATCCCTATTTTGTAGATGAGGACCCTGAGGCTTTGTGGGATTTAGGAGCTTGTACAACGTACCCCAGGAGGTACCACAGGTCTTAAGGAGCAGGGATTTATCTGGTGTGTCTCTCTTAGGAGACTTAGCTCCTAACTACCATGTCCTACAACAGTGCTTCTCCATCTTTAGCACGCACGAGTCAAAATCCCCTGGAGGCCAAGCGAGAACTCAAACCAGGGACCACGCCCTGACTCTGGAGGGGGCCCAAGAACTTGCATCTCTACCAAGTCCCCAGGTCATGCTGATGCTGCCGGTTCAGAGACTGCACTTTGAGAACCCCTGTTACACTACATCCCGTTTTCTAGAAAACAGTGTAAGCACCGACTTTGAAAACTTTGAACGAAAACAGCTGAGGTTGGAATCGACTGCTGACATTAATCCTCTACCCGGATAGATAATGGCCACGGTGTTTCTCGAGCATCTCTTCTGAGAGGTTGGTGTCATGAGACGGAGATAATTGACCTGTTGTAGGTCTTATTCTGGTATTCCCTTGGCTGCCCGACATTTCCGAGAACACGGTCGCACTGCATCGTTAAAAAAATAATAATAAATGTACCACTGTCATTCACTCATACTCGTGGGCCAGGTGTGAAGTTCAGTAGTTTTCCATCTGAAGGATGACGTTTGATTTTCAAACTAGACTTGGTTTATTGTCTTTTGACCCTTTCAGACCTAGCATACTCTGATTTTGTGTGAACTCTGTGACCGTGATCTTGGAAAATATCATCAGGGTGCTGGTACTAATAAGCACATAGAGATTTACTGTGAAGAAAGGTTTGCAAATCTTGGATGAGGTCTTAGGTCCTATTAACGAATTCAACAAAAACTCTTAGGCAATTTTATTAGTAATAAAAAGAAGTAAAAGGTAAGAAAAGAAGCGTCATTTGAAAGTCTCCTGATTATGGTCACTTTGAAAACAACAGGCACTTTGAGGACAGGTTTTTGTGTTCCTTTGACTGGTTGAGTTTCACCCGAATTAAGATTCCAAAGGCACATTTGAAACCTGAAATAAAGCTGATCTGCTTGTTGATGATTTGTTCTGAAGCCTTCTGAGGTCTTTCAGAAGAAAGGCTTTGGCACCTTTCCCTTTCTGCCACTTAATAGCAAAGATAACAGCCCAGGTGTGAAACCACCATTAAAATACAGACAATTTGTCCTACCGATGGATTCAGGAGAAAACAGCCTCCTGAAATTTGCTGCAGTGCTTTTGCTGTGAGCAATGCTACACTATTATTTGGGACTGAAATCCACACATATTGCAAAGGGGAGTAGGGACTGGTGATATGTGGGACTCCTCAGGCTCCTTTATCCAAATGCCTCTGGCAATATCAATTCCTGGAGGAGAACTTAAAAAACAAAACAAAACATAATTATCTGGTGACTTCAGGAGCGGTGGAACAGCTTCCTTTGGTTTTGAGTCGAGAATTTACCTGTGCAGGTTTGTGCTGGCAGTTGCTGCTACATGTGTCCAGAGGCTGAATTTTCTAGAACCAAACCAAGGATTCTCTTGTGAGTGCCTGTTTCCCAGCAAATACTAACTGGAAGCTATTTGCTAGAGACCAAGAACGCTCTTTGTTTTTCTCATGAACTGACTGCTGCATTGGAATTAGCACAATGCGAGGGGCACGGGATCCTGCCCTCTGGCAGGCAACAATAGGCAGGTTGTCATTTTCTGCCAGACCCTCAAGTTAGGAGCAAAGGCAGGCGCTAGAATGAGTCACACACGCACTGTTGCTTTGAGACTGGTATCTTCACCTGGTGGCTTCAGCACAACCAAGGAAACATTCAGGGCTGTTCCCCCAGGAGTGGGGTCCAAAGGGATGCTTTGGAGGTTTTTTTTCCTCCTGCGTCTTGGTGCCGCCCAGAGATATTTATCAGTGTGAACAGAACAAGATGCCAAGCAGAGATCCTGTAAAGTGAGGTGCTCCCCAAAGCAGATTCGGAGGCTGGGGCTGGTGCGCGCGCGCGTGCTGTGTGGTGTGTGCAGGACGTGCAAGGCAAGTGCGCTGAAATGCAGCTCTCCTGTTCGCCTGCAAAGAGTTGCTCCACTCCCCCCGCTGCCCAGCGCGCTCGGGGAGCGCCAGGGGGAGTCCTCGCCGGCCCGGGCTTCCCGCGCCCCGGGAGCACCGAGGGCTCGCCTGGCGGAGCTTAGCGCAGCTTGCTCGGCGCTGCCAGCGAGCGGGCGGGGTGGACACTGGGCTTCTGTGTGCCCGCCGCAGCCGTTGGCTGGCAGGCGCCCAATCCCGGGGCATGCCGCCGGAGCCCGGCCAGGACGCACGGTGAAAGACCAGTTTGGGGGAAGGCTTGACCCCTGGCGGCCAGCAGAAGCCGGCGTCGGGAGCCCAGGCGGTGGGGCCGCCGGGATCGGGCTCTCTGGGCTGCAGCTGCGGGAGCAGGCACCCCTCGGGTGCAGAGGGAAAAGGAGGCATGGCTTCGGTGTTCATGTGCGGCGTGGAGGACCTGCTGTTCAGCGGCAGCCGCTTCGTATGGAACTTGACCGTGTCCACGCTGCGGAGATGGTACACGGAGAGGCTGCGGGCTTGCCACCAGGTGCTGCGGACGTGGTGCGGGCTGCGAGACGTGTACCAGGTGAGCTGGGGCGCCCAGCGCCCGAGGGCCCTAGCAGGATGCCGGGCGCTCGTGGGAAGCTGGTTCCACCTGTATGATTTTATTCTTTTTCCCTCCACCTCTCTCTTTCAAAACTCTTAGCAGGCTGCTCGACTCTTGGGTCAAATGCTCTGCAGCGCTGGGTAACTGACAAAGCTTGTGAATTTTCTGTATCTGGCGGCCCTTGTGAATTAGTCCCTGCCTTTGCAGACATTTATTAGAGAGAGATGGTGTACCTGCCCGCCGGCACTTAGCTAAAAAAGCTGTAGCTTTACAGCAGAGGGTCGGCAGGGAGCAACTTTGACATTCACATGATTCCTTCTTTTTCATTTCATTGGAGTGAAGGCAGGCGTTTCAAGGAGCAAGGATCTCACACCAGTTTATGGTCAGAAGGGCCTGAATGGGTTTGCATTCTTCCCTTTGGTTTTATTTCAGCTTTCCATCAGGCAGCCCCAACTTGCAAGGCAGAGCCAGGAAAAGCTGATTCTGTGTCTACTGGCTTTTGGAAGAAAGGACAGCAAATTGTGAACACTTTGCAGGAGGATGCTGGGCTGGGGAAGGGAGGGGTGGCTTGGCTGAGTGCTGGAATGCTTACGTTTGGATTTACTCCCTGTCACACAACACAGCCTCTTTATTTCTCTGCTAGGTCCCATCCTGCAGGCAAAAAATGCAGCAACTTAATTCAGTCTCTCTGGGGCTGCAGCTCCCCTTCATTTTTTAAAAATCAGATGTTTGTGGATTTAAAAGTTCTGTGCTTTAGTTAATATCTTTGAGGTTTAAAAAAAAATCTACAGTGCATTTCAGAAGATTATACCTGGTGTTAACTGCAGGAAGATAGCATCACACTTTCTTTCCTGTGATGTAGAATAGCTTTGTTGCAGTACCTGAATTCTCTGTACTCTGACCACGTTTTCAATATGACTGTAATTTCTCTCTCATTGTGTTGAGTCCCATATGGGATCAAGCTTCAAATACTGAGAAGCCATTGTCTCCCATCAATCAAGCAAAGTTAAAACACCAGCACCTGAGGTTAAACTGTGGACGTCTGAAGAATCAGTGTCCTCTCGTCATCCTTGACATCCGTGTCATCCTTGTTAAATTGTGAGGAACACGGTCATTTGTGCTTTCCTAGCCCCTGCTTTGGATAACACATCTAAGATGTCTTGAATTTTGAAAGAATCCAAAAGCCAGGTTGAGAACCGGGGCAGCATGTGGTGGTTTGAAGGTATGGTGGAGCTGTGGGTATATCTCATCTGGCCACATTACACAGATCACCTGGCTGTTTGGAGCCAGAGGTGTGTCTGCCGCTCAGCCTTTTTCTTTTCTGGGAAATCATTGTTCAGTTTGCTCTGTAGAAGAAGTGACCCTGATGTAGTTTTGTTTTCACTTTTTAACATTTGAGAAGCTTTCAAAAAGAGAACACACGTATCGTGGCCAGCCATTCAACCTACGTGCCTCTATCCCCAAGGATTCAGGGGACTTAACGTTTTATCTCTTCTACCATTAGTGACCAATCAAAAAATGATGGTTCCAGAAACCTGAAGCCTCACTAGTTCTTTATAAGGTTGATCCATAATTATTTTTAAGCAGAACAGCAACTTGAAGGACTAACCTACTAAACTATAGGTTTTCTCTTCTGTAAGATGGATGGTAACTGAGCCAGTACCATCTCACAATGACGAGAAGGAACACCTAAAATTAATGATGGCTATTTTATAAGTATTGAGTTATAAGTAGAAGATGATCTGTAAAGTTTTCTGTGTCTTTGGAGAATATTTTAAAACTTGAGAAAACCATAGGTTTTTACATTGTACAACATAGTTGTTAGCAAAAAAAAAAAAAAAACTATTTTCTTTAATGCCTTTCAAATTTGACCAAGAAAGTAGTAACTTAAATTGTCCAGAATTGAAAGGCAGTAAAAGAAAGTGGTTAATACCTTATGCTCCAAGTTAAATAGATAAAGGAGTAAATCCTACCTCTGTCTATATATGATCATGGGTAAGTTCTTTACTCTTACTATGCTTCAGTTTTGTTGTTTATAAAATGGGAAATATAATAATACTAACCACAGAGGTTGATATAAGAATTAATTGATTTGTAAGATATTTAGCACAGTGCTGAGAGCTTAGGAAACTTTTAATAGATGTTGTCTGTTCCCTCAGTTGGGATATTTTTTTGGTTATAGGAAATCTCCAACCCAAAGTAACCTATAGAATAAATAGAAGGTACTTGTGACAGAACTAAAATATCAAGCAGTGGGATAACCTTCAGGTATGGCTTGATCAGGGCACTATGCTTGTTCCCCATGATTCTTTCAGCCCAGTCTTGTTCACGTGTTGGCTTTATCTTCAGCTGGTTTCTTCCCTCATGATAGCAGATGACCAAGGCAGTTCTAGGGCTTAGGTCCACATTTCAACCCATCCAAAAAGAAAGAGAATTTCTCATATCTACCAACTATCCAAAAAGTTTCCATTTTGCACTCTGATGGGCCAGTTTAGGGTCTGTGCCCACTTCCAGTGCCATGCATTGATTGGCACAGGGAATGGGATCATAATTCATGCACTCTCAAAGGGAATAATATGGTCCCCAGCAGGCAAAAATCATTTTTTTAGGGATGGGAGGGAGGAAAAAAATCTTTCTCTTTACGTGTAAAGCACAGACCTACATACAATACATAAACAGATATACAGTATACCTGTGGCATTAGAATTTATGAGAGGGTAACTAGCAAACAAAAAAAAATCTTAAAAGGCTCCTTAAGGGAGGGATAATGAATAAAAAGGTTGAGAAGCCCTGAATTACACTTGATTGGCTTGGCCACAGTGGGAGTGTACCCATTTCTGAAGCTGGGGACGAGGTCAGCCTGACCCAGACCACATCCCTCCCAAAGAAGGAGGGAAGGATGTAGTGTCCACTGAACCTGCATGATTAGAATCTCACATCTAGAGCTCTTTAAGTAAAATGATTATTTTTTGAGGTACAAAGATTGATGCACAGATATATTTGTAAGTATTTTGCGATAGTAATTTATTTGAGTGAATGGGGTTCATGGGGGCCCTCATGAGAATACCCTCTATTTCTCTGCCATAATTGTGAATTCTAAAGTATGGAGGGGAAGCTTCCCTCGTACGGCTCAAGTTTCTGGCCTATGAACTAGAAACATCATAAGGTTACATATTTCACTGAATCCAACTTTTCATCGTCCTCATGATAAAAGAGTGTCGCTTTTCTTGCTTCTGGTCTGAATAGTCTTGTTGGTACGAAAGTTCAGGACTCAGTCACTCTGGAGAGCAACAAGGGTGGGGCGGGAGGTATCCATTACACAAAATACCTGGCAGTCCCCCTGGGGTGTTTTGTTTATTCATATACTATGAGTGAAATAAGATCTGCACCTATTCATAAGGTACTTGGCAACAACATTATTATTGCCTGGCCGGCACAGCCGAGAAGGCATAATTTCTTTGGAATTGAACACTTCCTCCACTTCTCGATGTTGGCGAGGCAAGAGACTTAATTTGCCAGAAACCATGAATAATTAAGATAGTAGCTATAAGGCATTTCTGTAGTCATGCGAGTAAATAAAAAGCAGATTGCAGCTGCGCTGAAGCTGCCTTTTAACAAAGACTTACTTGATGAGTGAAGGTTTGAATTTGGTTGGAGTAGCAGACATAGGACATGCACCTTCAGTTTGGGGCTGAATAGTAAAAGCTGATTCATCTGCCGTATATCTCGCCTGCTTCCGTCTTGCCCGGATGGGTTGTATGATCGCAATTAATTAGACTTCACAAATAACTGAGGTGGAAAATGACGGGAGAATGTTGTTGAAAAAGAATCAACACCCTTTGCTTTTTATTAAGTGTGACATGTTCTAACAAAGCCCTCAGTTTGCTTCTTGGGATGAAGTTTTCCCTTCATCTCAAACGTCTCAAAGGTAGAATTTCTTGCAAACCCTGAATGGAGTCATTGCCTCCAGGAGGAGGCAACTTGGACAGACTCTGGGATAGTAAGTTGACCAGAAGAGGCTGGGTCAGCTCCCCAGGGGCAGGTAGCTGTAGGCTCAGATTTGAGCAAATTTGACCTGGAGCAAGTTGCTTTTTCTCCCTGAGCCTCATTCCCTTCTGGGTAAGAGAAGAGAATTTTAGTACTGGCATTACAGGAAGTATGAAAAATTCATGAGATAATGTATATAACACTGAGCATCCAGCGTGGGATAAGCAAATACTCCATAAATGCTAGCTCTTGGTTATGCAAAAGACTTAACACCACACCCATAGAAGGTACTTGATAAAGGATAGCTCAGGGTATTAATATTGTTTTTATAAGGGAGGCTGGTTCTCTGGAAACTGAATTCCCATCTTTACACTGGAAGATGTTCAATAAGAGAGACTGTGGACTTTCCCACAGCAGCAAATGTGGGGTGGATCTCAGGTATCTGGACTTGTGTTCCTCACAGTAGACCCACATTTTTTTCAAGGCCTATATGAAAAATCTAGGAGGTGACAGGCAGCTAGCAGTAGGATCTCTAAGGAGATAATCTCTTTATAGCTAAAACTCTAATGACCCATAAATTGGTAACACCTGAACTTTTCACCCCTTCCCCCACCATTGGTTACAAAAGGCCAAGTTCTCCAGAGGGCAAACCTCCATTTGAGCATTCAGTGACCTGTGTGCATGTCAAACCATATGTCCTTTGCTTGCCCTCACTCTCCATAGCCCCCTGAATTATATAGACTAAAATGGGGGTTGACATATTACAAGCTGCAGGAGAAAACTGCCCATGTCCTGTTTTTGTAAATAAAGTTTTATTGGCACACAGCCCTGCTCATTCATTTACATGTTGTCCATGGCTGCTTTCGAACAACAATGGCAGAATTGAGTAGTTGTCTGACTTAACTACTTAGTGCTGAACAGTTGACACAAAGACTGTATTGGTCACAAAGCCAAAAATATTTACTATCAGGCCCTTTACAGAGAAAGTTTGC